AAAAAAAAAATTTTTTTTTATAAATGAAAAAAATAAAAATGGTAAGCGTGTAATTTTTAATTTATTTATAATAATAATAATAATTGTAATTAATATTAATGAGTGGTGATTTTGTGTTTACATTTTAATAGTACGTTGGGTAGAAAAACTGTTTGTTTAATTAAATAAATAATTAATTTTTTTTTTTTTTATGCAACATCGAAACATTTTTTTTTATTGATCATAGAATAACAAAAAGAAAAACAAAAAAGTTGATAAATTTTTTTTGTATTTTTTAACACTTATTGTGAAAAAAACGTTTTTTTTTTTTTGTTCTTAGAAGGTTACCGATCTTTCATTAAGTATTTGGTTTTACACCTTGACTTTTAAATTTTTTTTCCATCTTTAAACTTCTTATTCTTCTTCTTATTATTATTATTATTACTACAACTCATTTATTTTAATAATCAAAAAAAAAAAAAAAACACTTTCACCTTATTTATTTTTAATCCCGAGTTATTATAAAATATTTTGTGTACGAGTAAAAGGTGTCTTGAAAAAAAAAAAAAACATGAACTTGTATTTTGAACTTAAAAAAAACTTTCTCAAATTTTTTTTTTAAAAAAATCTTTCAATCAATATTATTATCATTATTATTATTTATTAGAAATTTTTTCAATGATTTTAATTAATTATTTATTAATTAATTAATCGCGAGTGGGTAACACGTTAAACGCGTTATAAAAATTATTAATACGTTTAAACTGAAACAAAAAAATTTTTTAAAATTTTCACATTCAGACGAAAAAGAATAAAATGATGTGAATTGGGGTTAAATAATTAATAATAATAATAATAATAATAATAATAATAATAATAATAGTTTAATTGCATTCGTACGTAAAATATTATGTCAAAAATTAATTAATTAATTAATTAATTAATATTTTTTAACGTGGGATTAAAGTTATAATTAATTAGTTTTTTTTTTTTACTTTCTGAAAATTATTTAAATTTAATGTTTTCACTAATGGCTTTCCTCTCCCCTCTCCCCGTTCATTTTTGGAATTTTTTCCAATAAATCTTTTCTTTATTGTTTATTAAATGTTCAATGTTCGTTCTAGCATAAAATATACATAGTTTTGTAATTACTATAGTTGTTACATGGCAGCGAAAATTTTTTTTTTTTTTTTATTCGTTCATTAGATCGTCCAGTTCGTCCCGTGTTAATTGAAATCTACCATTTCTACTTTCACGATTTACATCCTGGCGATTTCTATTTTTTTTTTATTTAATTGTTATATTCTCGCTTTTTTAGTAGTTGGTCTTTGTGTTTTGTTTCCATCATGAAAATTCCATCTCGTTAAAGTTTTGTACTTTTTTCGGACGAAAATTTTCTCTTTACCTCCCCTTCCCCTTTTACCCCCTTCTCCCCCACACAAATTTTCGAATTTAGAGAAAACAAAACTTTCAAGGAGAAATTTTTTTTTTTTTTTGAAGAAAATAAAAATTTGACAAACAAACAAACAAATTAAAATAACGTTAAAAACAAGATGAGCAGAATATCATTATCATTATCATTATCATTATTATTATTATTAATGCGGAAACGATGTAAAAAAAAAAAAAACAGGATTTTGATGAGGAGTTTAAATAAAAATTTCTGTGATAAAAAAAAAAAAAAAAAATGATTACGTAAAGGAAATTTTTAAAACCTCTGAAAAAATAAGGTATAAATAATGATTATAACGACGAATGAACTGACGATTATCCACGTATTCATAATGATAATAATAATGATAATAATAATAATTGTTTAAAATCAGTTGTTTATATTTATATAATTGCGTTATTATTATTATTTATTAACGATGGATCAAAATAATTTTTTTACATTTTTCAAGTTCACTTTGCTAATTTAAGTATCATTATCATTTTTTTTTATAAAAAAAAAAAAAAAAAAAAAAAAAAAAAAAGAAAATTCAAACCTTGAAAATTCAGGTCTTACTATTATTATTTAATTCATCTTCTTTTTTTTTGTGAAAATCCCCCAAAAGTTGTTTTTTTAAAAAATAAATTAATAATGATAAAATTAATATTATATTTTTATATTATTATAAAAATCATTTCCTGTTTGTTTGTCAACAAATTTTCTTTTTTTTTTTCTTTTTTTTTTTCTTTTTTTTTTTCTTTTTTTCTGGGATGTTATCCTTTTTTTATATAAATTTTCTTTAAAAAATCCAATAAAATTTTTTTTTTTTTTTTTTAAACAACATTTTGAAATTTCGTCTGCTGTTTGCAATAAAAAACCGATAATTTAAATGTTAACACGTCGAAAAGAATGAATTTAAAAAAAAATGTTAGGGCAAATTATTTGAAGGTTACCAACATTCTAAATTAAAAGTCACTAGGAAATAATAATAAAAAAAAAAAAAAATTGTTCTTTAACCGTAATTAAATTTTAAGTTTTTTTTTTTTTATATTGGTTAAGTTTGAGCATTTGCAAAATGTGCATTCATAAATTTTTTTTTTTTTATGAAATTCGAGAAAATGTATAAAAGTTATGAAATAAATTACACTTAAAAATGAAAGTTTTTTCGTGTAAGAATTAAAAAAAAATTTCCAATTATTATTATTATAGAAATTTAACTTGTTTAATTTCTATGAAAAAATATGCGAAAGTGTTAAATATTATTATTATTATTATTGTTTTTATGTCCTCTCTTTTGATGCTATCACAAATAATAATAATAATAATAATAAAATTTATTTTCTCATTTTTTACTCGTTTAATAATCGGTTCAAATTCGAACGTGATATTTTTTTCTTTTTTTTTCTAGAATGAATAATCAATTTTTTTGTAACTTTATTTTACTTTTCTCTCTTCCTCCCTCTCCCCCCCCCCGCCCCCTCTCTCTCTCTGTATTTTCAGGTTTATTATTGATCGTAATGATTCCATTCTTTTTTTTTTTTTTTTATAAAGGCTTATCAATCAGGTTCTATCAAAACAAAAAAAAAAAGAAAGTGGATGGTGGTATTAAAATTTTTTGTCAATAGAAAAATTTTATTTTTTATAAATAAATAAATAGAGAGTGAGCGAAGGGGGGGGGAGAAGAAAAATAAAGGGTTTATTTTATTTTTAAAAATGTATTTGTATTATGTACATACCGATTTTGTAAATTTTTGTTATTATCGGTCTACATAAACCGCTGGGGACATTTTGAAATCGATAATGCCATTGTAATTTGTAAATTTTTTTTAAAATTAAGAAACGGTTCGTTTTTCGTAATTCCCCCCCCCCCTTGGTTTTTCTAAAAGTTTTTTTCTTTAAAGAAAATTTTATTGCTTTACATATATATATTAAAAATTTATTAATATAATTAAGTCTTCATATACTTACTTTGTGTAAAATGACAAAAACGTGTCTCTATCTCTCTCCTTCGCTCACTCTTTCTCTTTATTTATTTATAAATATATAAAAAATTTTTTTTTTTAATTTTAAATAAATAAAACATTAATTACAAATCCAATTTGAAAAAAGAAAAAATTTAATCACTTTAATAGTTTTCTTTTTCTACTTTAATTACACGTAGAAGAAATTATTGCTTTAGTTTTATTATTACTTTCATTTTAACTTATAAAAAAAAAATTTTTCTCTTTCTATCCAATTATTATTATATTATTTATTAAGAAAAATAAAGGGAAATTTTATTTATTTAATTTTTAGGTGATACCCCCTTTTTCTTGGTCAGGAAGCTCCATAGTAGAAGCCGTTACTTCATTTGCTAGTCGCATAGAAGACGTGCTTCCAGACGTTAAAATGCCCCCAATCCGCGGTAAAAAAGGATGGGGCGGATGCATTCAGGTAAGTTTTCTTTCTCTCTCTCTTTCTGGATTGACCAAAAAAAAAAAAAAAAAAAATTCAACCCGGTATTTTCTACCAGAGTATTTTTTACGCTTGGATAATTATCAAAAATTTTATTTAACTACCTGTTTACAAAAAAAAAAAAAAAAATTAAAAGACAATTATAAATTTGATTATTTTTACAATATACGCACACGTATATATAATAATAAATAAACAAGTTTCCGGAAGTTGAGGAATTGAGCGAGACATCCTAGGGCTAAACCTCTAAAAAGACCGTTATATAGATTTTGTAGTCCGCTAGTGAACTAAATATTTGTTCTTATTCATACTATCTGCCAAGTTTTATTCGTTATATTGAATTTAAAATGTGCGGACATGACAGTTTAGGTATAAACCCAAAAGGAAACCTTGATGTATTTGTTTCGGCTAACGGAAGGTTCATATTTTTTATTTTTATTTAAATAATTTCACTTTCAAAAAAAAAAAAAAACTTTATTTTCTCCATATTACTTCTGTTTAATGAGAAATTTTTTTTAATTCCAAATAAAAAAAAAATTTAATAATGTTATTATTATTATTGTTTGATCAGATTGAGAGATCTTCGGACTCGTTTTCGCGGTTTAGACCAAAGATTTCATTTCTGTACCTACCGTAAAAACAACCACATCACGTTTTCCCTCATCAAAACCATACTTAATGTTAACATTAAATTTATAAATAATTGCAATTATCCCACCAGGGGAAACATTCACATATGTTAATAATGTAGAAAGTTTTAATAATAATTACGTTGGTGGTCGGCAATAGTCTTTCCATCGCCTCGTGTGTCATTAAAACGCCGCATAGACTTAACCAATTTTTTTTTTTAAAAAGTTGTACGCATAGTTTGGAGTGTAGAAAAAAAGGAAAAGTTGTTGAAAATTAAGAAATTAATAATAAAATAATAATAATGGAAAATTTCAAGTTGCAATTTAATTATGTGTTATTACCTTTTCCCAGTTATTTGATTTTAAAAAGTGACAATACAACGACAGAAAAAGAAACATGTCGGATTTAAAATGATAAATTTTTCTTTTTTTTTTTTTAGACTGATGAACCTCCCGAAATAACATATTGTGTTGTTGATGGCGGAGGAACACTCAGCTTACAAGCCATGACACCAACTCAACCGATGCCCTCTCAAGAAGAACTTAATGCTAAATTTGCCGAATTTGTCGTAATTTTTCTTTTTTTATATTATTTATTATTAATAAATTTATTATTATTATTATTTATTTCAAACGTCTGAAATTTCTCATTAGGAAGAGTTAGACTTGACTGCACCCAACAAAGCATCCATGTTGAGCTTACCTTTGGAAAAAAAATGGCAAATTTATTGCAGTAGAAAAAGAGATCGAGAGGGAGAAACTGATTTATCACATCTTCCCGAACATTATATCGAAAGAGTTGAATCGGTATCAAAGGTACGTGGAAACATTCTAGATATTTTCATCAATTGAAACGAATGGGTTTGTGTGAAAATTTAAAATTTCAACAGTTGCCGTATCCTTCTGATAATGAGGAAGAAGTTAGATCGAGAACTCGAACTCTCGATGGATTAAAAACAGCATTAAGAACTCAACCACATTCTTTCGTACTTCGATTTATCGATTGCGATGGCGTAACCGCGCTATTAAATTTTCTATCGTCAATGGATTTTGAAACCATACAAAGTTCCATTCACACGTCTCTTATAGGATGTTTAAAAGCTTTAATGAATAACTCTGTAAGATATTTTATTTTTTGTTAATTTTCAAAGGTAGTTTTGGAAATGTTAAACGTGCATTATTTGTATAAAAATTTATTCCAGAATGGCAGAGCGCACGTTTTGGCTCATCCCACTGGATTGAACATCATCGCACAAAGTCTTAGCACTGAAAATATAAAAACTAAAATCGCCGTACTCGAAATACTTGGGGCAGTTTGCCTCGTTCCCGGAGGACATCGTAAAGTTTTGATAGCTATGTTGCACTACCAAAAATATGCCTTTGAAAGAACCAGGTTTCAAAGTATAATAAACGATTTGGACAAAAGCACGGGGATTTACAGAGACGAAGTAAATTTAAAAACGGCAATAATGTCTTTTATAAATGCCGTTCTTAATTATGGGCCGGGACAAGAAAATCTGGAATTTCGTCTTCATTTACGCTATGAATTTTTAATGTTGGGAATTCAACCCATTATAGACAAACTCAGGGGACATGAAAACGAAACTCTTGACAGGCTCGTTTTTATAATATTCATTTTGTTTCAAGAGTGTAAATGTTCTTTTAAAAATTAAATTTATATTACCTTTTTTTTTTTTTGGTAGACATTTAGATTTTTTCGAAATGGTGAGAAATGATGATGAAAAAGAATTGGCTAGAAAGTTTGAACAAGAACATGTCGATACAAAAAGCGCCACTAACATGTTTGATTTACTCAGGAAAAAACTTAGTCACACATCAGCTTATCCTCATTTATTGGCTCTCTTACAAGTTTGTTTTTTGTTCTTATAATAATAATGATTGTTTTTGTATACATGAGCATCATTTCTAAAATTAAAAAAAAAATATATATATATTTACAGCATTGCCTATTGTTGCCATTAAATTACGGTAATCAATCTCAGCATTGGATATTATTCGATAGAATAGTTCAACAAATAGTCCTCCAAACGGAATCGGGAAACAATCCGGACGGTGCTCCAATAACAATTAATGTTAAAGAAATAGTTCAACAATTGGCCAAAGAAGAAGAACTTTTGGAGGCAAGAAAAAAGGCTGATGATTTAGAAAAAGACAATTTAGAAATTTCAAATAAATTAGCCAAGGTTCATAGCATTATAGCTTAAAGAATTGTTTTTTTTTTTGATTACATTCGTTAAATCGTGTCATTCCTTATAATTTTACAGAAAGAACAAGAATTAGATATGCGATTACAAGAAAAGGAAGATATGGAAGCAAGTCTTAATAGAATCAAAGAGCGACTAGAGAAAGAAACAGCTTTGCACATAGAAACAAAACAAAAATTAAACGAATTGGAATATAAAAGATCGGAAATGGAGCATCAATATAGTTGCGAAAGAGAAGAAAGAATAAGACTTGAACAAATGGTTTCGACCGGTATCACACCCGATGAGGCAAAAGTAAATTCAATTCTATCTCTCTCTCTCTATATGAAAATTTAATTATTATTATTATAATATATTATTACTTTTCTTTTCTTTTCTTTCAGGCTTTGACTTTGAGGTGTGAAGCATTAAGTAATTTTAAACCTAAATCTTCCTTTCCTCCTCCTCCTCCCCCTCCACCGATGGTTCCTCCGCCACCTTGCCAAAATAATATAGGTCCTCCTCCACCGCCTCCTTGCGGTCCCCTTCCCCTTGTTTCAAAAATAGAATTACCAAAGAAAAACATTCCACAATCGTCTAATCCGTTAAAAAGTTTTAATTGGTCCAAGCTTCCCGATTCCAAGTTGGCGGGAACAATATGGACGGAGTTGGACGACACAAAGCTCTACAACTTTTTAGGACTTGAAAACATCGACAAAATATTTTGCGCATACCAAAAAAATGGCGTTCCAAATGAAGGATCCGTGGAGGATTTAAGAAATGTGAACACATCGAAAAACAGATCTAAAATATTATCAGTTATAGATGGTCGACGTGCTCAAAACTGCACAATTCTTTTATCAAAGTTAAAGATGACGGATGTTGGAATATGCAACATGATTATGTCGATGGATTCCAACGACGAATTGCCTCTCGATATGGTCGAACAATTGTTAAAATTTACACCGAGTTCCGAAGAGGTTGCTTTGCTGGAAGAACATTCAGATGAAATCGATTCCCTCGCGAGAGCGGATAGATTTTTATACGAAATTGCAAAGTTTGTCATTTTACATATACATACGTATATGTATTATCGTATAACTTTTTCATTATCATTATTATTATTATTATTATTATTATTATTTTAGAATTCCTCATTACGAACAAAGGCTTCGATCCCTTCATTTTAAGAAAAAATTTGGAATTAGCGTGAATGAAGTTTCACCGAGAATCAAAGCCGTAATGGAGGCATCGAGACAAGTGGCACGTTCGAGAAGACTTAGAAAAATATTGGAATTAGTTTTAGCTTTTGGAAATTATATGAATAGAGGAGCTCGCGGAAATGCTGCCGGGTAAATATTATGATTTGTGATAAGGTTTGATTTACGTCACGTGATTGGCCTAACACAAGTCAATAATATCCATCCTTTTCTTCTTCGTTTAGGTTTCGGCTCGTGTCATTAAATCGATTATCGGACACCAAATCGAGTTTGAATAAAGGAACAACTTTGTTGCATTATCTGGTTGATTTATTAGAAAAAAAATTCAAAGACATATTAAAACTTGAAGAAGATTTATCTTTTGTAAGGGAAGCATCCAAAGTAAGGTAAACAAACCTGCATAAAAAATTAAATAAAAAACAAAAGTTTTCAGGGGGGTGGTAAACTTATGTGAAAATTTTTTCCACCGCCTTGCTTACTAGTTTTTAGTAATGATGTATGTGTTTTTTGGTTAATTTAGCCTTGGCGAACTTGAAAAAGATATGTCTTCTCTTCGGCTGGGATTAAAAGAAGTTGAAAGAGAAGTTGAATTTCATAGATCCCAAAATTGGAATCCGGCAACCAACGATCAATTTCTTATAGTTATGAAAGAATTTTTGTCGTGGGCCACTTTTAAATTTTCAGAATTGGAGGATTTGTTTCAAGATATGAAAACGAGGCAAATTATCATCGTTATTAGTAGTAGTAGTAGTAGTGGCAGCAGTAGGAGTAGAAGTGGCAATAACAAATAATAATTTTTAAAATTATTAAAGGTTCGACAGGGCGGTGAGACTTTTTGGTGAAGACAACACTTCCATACAACCCGATGATTTTTTCGGAATTTTCGATTGTTTTTTAACAGCTTTAAACGATGCCAAACAAGACAATGAAAATTTAAAGAAAAAAAAAGATGAAGAAGAAAAAAGAGCCAAACAAGAAGCTGAAGTATGTACAAATATGTATATGTATATGTATAGAATTTTTGGAAAAAAATTAAAAACGAATGAATAATTTTCATTGATATTATTATCATTATTATTTAGCTTAAAAAGAGAACGATAGATAGGAGAAGTAGTAAAGATTCACTGTTGGAAAATAGAAATAAAACTGGACTCAGTAATGGTATCAATCACGTCGATAAGCCAAAAGATGGAAAAGGAGACAAGGTTTGCGTTTACGAACAGTTTATATAACATTTAAAAATAAATTTTTTGTTCTTTTTTAAAAAAAAAGTTTTTAATTTATTTATTTTAAAGTAAATTTTTCTTATTAGTAATTATAATTAATTTAATTTAATTATTATTATTATTATTAAAATAAATAAATTTAATCAGGAACTAAATAATAGTTCATAAGTTAACATAAATTTATTTAAAATTGATTGAAAAATATTAAAAAATTTCGGTTAGTTTTTTGCTGTGGTTTAAAATAAGAAAGATTTGTCTCGTTGGTCGGTTATGGTAAAATGGTGGTAACTCTGGAAAAAAAAAAATGAGTTATTATTTTGTTTCCAGGGTGAGTTCGACGATCTTATATCAGCTCTTAGAACTGGAGATGTTTTTGGTGAAGATATGGCCAAATTTAAAAGGAGTAGAAAGTCTCGTATAACGGCAAATAACGGCTCTCTTCCCCGTACGAATAATAATTGTCTCAACAGGGAAGATAGCAGAGAAAGAGTTTTAAACAATTCTCGGAGGGGATGAAATGATGATGATGATGATGATGATTCTGGGGCCAAAACCACCGAAAACCTGGATCTCTATTGTTGATCTCTCTCTCTCTCTCTCTCGCTCTCTTTCTTTAATAGCCAAAATGTTCGGCGTGATTGAGTTTGCTTGCGTGCGTGTGTGCGTGCGTGAGTGCGTATATATATATATATATATATATATATATATATATATATATATATAAATATCGAAAAAGGGTTGCAACGAGGCAATATTAACGATGAAATAAAATTATGCCTTTTATTTTTCTATATAAAGAAAAATCCTCGTCGTCGTCGTCGAACTGCACAACTCCATTTTTTTTTTTTTTTTTTTTTTTAATCGATGAAAGCCGCCTTAATTTTTTTGTATTTTTATAAACTTTTTTTAATATGGCGTTCATTATTTTGTAATTTGATTATATATGTGTATAGTAAAAAAATAGTTTATATTATTATCATCAGTGTCTAACGAAAGGGTTATTATTATTATTATTATTACGTCATAGGATGATAAGAGAGAAGAAAAAAAAAAAGGTTTAACATAAAAAAAAATTTCTCATAATTTTTTTTTCCCGTTTTAATTATATATTTATATATGTGACGTTTATTTATTTATTTATTTATTTATTTATTTATCTACTTATTTACTTATTTAATTGTCGTTATTATTATTATTATTTTTCTTTCATGTCGGTTTTGAATTCGATTGATTTGAAAATTTATTTATTTATTTTTGATAAAAAATTTATTATTATTATTATCATCACCGATTTTTTTTTGTTGTTCCATATTTTAAAAATTTGACGAAATTATTATTATTATTATTATTATTATTATTATTATTATTAAAAATTGATTTATTGTTTATTTAATATTGTGAACAAACGGGGAAGAAAAAAAAATGTTTTTTTTTTTTTTTTTTTACTTTGATTGATGTCTTCTTCATCTTCTTCTTCTTCTTTATCATCTTTTCTTTCTGAAATTGTTCGAATGGATTTAAGAAGTTTTATATTGATTAGTTGTAAATATATTATTATTATTATTATTATATCAAATGATAAGAAATATATATATATATATAATGTATTAAAGAAAGAAAGAAAGAAAGAGAAAATTTTTTTTTTTTAAACTTATTATTATTATTATTATTATTATTTTTAATATATATATATTAATTTAATTATTTATAAAAAAAAAGAAAAAAAAGCTCAAAATGTTAATTTAAATAATAATAATAATGATAACGATAAAGCATATCTTCTCATTTTTTATCGAATAATTTTCATTTAAAAAAAAAAATTTATTTATTTATTTTTTTATTTATTAATTTATTTATTTATTATTTATATATGAGCGTGTAAATATTTATATATATATTTGTATTATACTTTCTAGTCTTTGTTTTTTTTTTTTTTTTTATATACATATATATATATATATATTTTTTCAAATGCGTGTATTCCTCTATATTATTATTATTATTATTATTATTATTATGTTTTGTTATTAATTAAATGTAATAAATAAATGGCGAAACAAAGTGTTGAAATTAATTAATTAATAAAATTTTTTATAATAATAATTATTATTATTATATATAAATATATAAATAAAATATTTATGTATTGTATTTTTTCTTTATTTATTTGATTTTTTTATTTTAAATAAAAAAAATAACCGCGGTGTGATTAATAATAATAATAATAAATTATTAATTTTTTTATTTGGAGAAAAAAAATTAATAAATAAATAAAAACGTTCGTTAATTCGATATTTTTTTTTTTTTTTGATTTTAAAAGAATTCAAGACTGAGTTTCCCCCCCTCCCCTTCTCCCTCGCGTTTATTATCATTATCATCACCATCATTATTATTATTATTAATTTAGTATAATTAAAGTGGTTAAAAAGTCTATTATGCATATGTATGAAGGCAAAGGAAATGTTAAAACATCATCATTATTATTTAAATAATGTTAATTACGAGCTTGTACGTGACGTCATTTATTAATTTTTTTTTCTTTTAATTGATTGTATAATTTATTATCATTATTATTATTTATTTATATTATTATTTGTATACATAATTTGTCATGTATCATTTTGATTTTTTTTTATATTTATATATATAAAACACGAATTTCAAAAAAAAAAAAAAAATTATTGATGTTAATAATAATAATAATAATAATAATAAATTTATAAATAAATAAAAAAATTAATCAGGGATTTATTATCATTATCATTATTATTATTTTATTTATTTTTCCTTTTTGTATTGTTAAGTACATCATAGATATATATGTTAAACAAAGGGGGGTTGAGAAAAAAAAGGGAGTAAATTAAATTTAAAATAATAATAATAATAATAATTGTAATGAATAGTAGTTTTTGTAAAGAAATAATAATAATAATAATAAAATTTGGTTAAAAATAAATCGACCGCAAATAAATTGATTAGAAACAAAAAAAAAAAAAGGTCATAAATTTAAATTATTTTCTCCGGTTTTTTTTTTCCTCCATTTAATTTTTCTTCTCCAGTTTTTAATTCGTTTAACTTTTTTTTTTTTTCCTTTATTTCGATTTATCCCCTTCCTCTCCCCTCATCCTCCCCTTCCTTCCTTCCTCCCCCCGTTTTTTTTGGAATTATTAAATTATACTGTACATATGTGGTTTTGTTTGTTTTCTCTTAACATGTTCTGGAAAAAAAAAGAAAAAAAAACATTTTATTTATTTATTTATTTAATAACAAAATTTCGGATTTTATTTTATATATTTTATATTATAATAAATAAATTTCGATATACAAAAAAAAAAAAAAGAATTATTATCATTATTTTAAAGCTTTTATTTTTTAGAAAAATTTGAATGAAAAATGTGTGAGAGAGAGAAAGAGAGAGAAAGAGAAAAGAAAAGAGAAAAAAAATTCTTTTTTTTTTTTTTTAAATAGTTTTATTGCACGTAATTAATAACTATAATTTTTTTTAAATATTTATTTATGTACATAAAATATTATTATTATTATTAAAACATAGAAACATGAGCTTTTTTTTTATTTTAAATTCTATTTTGTTTTATTATTATTATTATTATTAATAAGTTGTGGGGAGATTGGGGGGGGGGTGGGTAGAGGGAAATTATTATTGTTGTTTGTTTAGTTTTGTCAAAACAATGAGGATGAATTATCAGATGAATTATTAAGCATATCCGTCGTTTGTTGGTGCGATTGATGAGGATGATGATGATTGATGCTGTTGGCGTTTGCATCGCATCCCAAATTTCTTCTCGGACCCGAATTAACCAACATCAAAGCATCAGTTGTAAAGCCCAAAAGTTTTGCTTGATGTTCTTGAGCTTTGGCTCTCAGACACGCTATGCTGTTGTTTCGAAATTCTTCCGGATCTGTCGGAAGTGACGACGTTCTTTCGGTGAGTCTTTCGTTTTGTATAAGGTTTTCGTTGCATAAAAGCTGGTGTTGTTGCTGTTGTTGTTGCTGTTGCTGCTGACTAGAAGTCCTTTCGGTTTGATACCTACTTTCGTAAGTCGTAGACGGTATTTGACGTTGTTGAATTTGAATTTCCCGAGAATTTCCACCATCTTTTTTTCCAATTCCGTTATTATTATTTTCTTGAGCATTCAATTTAACTGTATTATTTATTTTGGATTCGTCTATGCTTTCTTCACTTTTATCCGTTTCTGCAACTTCATCTTTATCGCTTCCGCATGAATTATCATCTTTTAACTGATCTGCTGCTTCCAATGATTTCCTATGCATTCCTATAATTATTATTATTATTATTAAATTAAAAAAAGATTAGATTTGAATGCGGTTCCGACATGTTTTTGACAATCAAATTAAAAAAAAAAAAAAAATTATATACATATATGTAATTACCCAATAGCCATGGAGCCACCCCTTCATTTTCTTTTGCACTTTTTAATATTGTCTCTGGAAGTGGAAGTGAATGTCTCACCATGGCTCCATACAAACCATATTCCGCCATAATGGTGCTACGACCCCAACATTTTTCGGTTTTTCGCCATTTAGCTCTTCTATTTTGAAACCAAACCTGCACAAACAAACAAAAAAAACACAAAATTTTAACAAGAAAAAAAAAAAAAAGGATTTTCACGTTTGATTTATTTTCCGGTCTCTCTCTAAAAAAAAAAAAAAGATGAATGTTTTAGTTGTTTTCCACCGCACGAGAGAGAGAGAGAGAGAAAGAGGATGATCCGGCCATAAAGTCGCACGTGCGAAAAAATATTCGATATTAATTAATAAAAAAAAAAAATTTATTATTATTATTATTATTATTATTATTTTTTCCGAGTTTTCGACACGTTGCAACACAGCAGGAAATCTTGTTAATGCGCCGAACAACTCCGTGTGTGTGTGTGTTGTTCATCCCCAATTTGCTAACAGCTTTTTGTAGTTTACACAGGGGTGAGAATAACTGGAAAAAAAAAACAGTTCGTAATTTTTTTTTTTTTTTTTTTTTAATCGCAACATCCTAAAACATAAAAAACAATAAATTGTGTTGTTGGTTGTTGTTGCGTTGCGAAAAAAAAAATAATCAAATTTGTTTTAACTTTAATAATTAATAATGATATTCGTTTTGTCTTATGACTCTAGCAAATAATAATAATAATAATAATGAAAGGGATGATATTGTTAAAAAATTATATAAACAAAAAAGAACAATGTAAAAAAAAGTTTTATTATCATTATAATTACAAAAACTTCCGAAGAACCGACATAATTGGAGTCTAAGAGTGCGAGGTCGCGTGTCTACCCTGAGGCTTTTTAGCGGTTAATAACATTTTGGACAATTTTTTTTTTTTATAATTATAGTTAGTCTATCTCTCTCTCTTTCTCTTTCTCTCTCTCTCTCTTTCTCTCTCTCTCTAACCCTTTGAGTAAGGAGATCGTCGCCATCGTTTGTTATTTTAAAAAAAACTAATGATATGCAAAAAAAAAATTATTAAATAAATAAATTCAACAATTTTTTTTTTTTTTTTGTTAATTGAACAGCTTTGTACACATTTATTTAAAAAAAAAAAAAAAATGGAGATGAAAGAAAGCCGAATGATTTAAAAGACAAATATATATATGGTATTATTCAAGAGGGTCCTCAAAAAAAGTTGAAAAAAGAAAAACTTCGGCCCGAAGAAGAGGAAAAAAAACTCCTCAACAACAACAACAACAACAACGACATTGTTCTCGATTGTTTATTAAATTAAAACAAATATGGCGGCGTACATAAAAAAAAAACCAGCTAATCGATTTAAATTTATTTTTACATTTAATTCGACGCTTATACCTAAAAAAAAAGATATTATTATTATTATTATTATTATAATTTCCTCCATGATTCAAAGGAATAATCCTTGATTGGCCTTCATGGATTTTGCGCGTGAAAAGGTAATTTTGATAGGCTCGTTTCAACTTTTCTTTTTTTTTTCCCGAGAGGCTCATCGATATCATTTTTCTAAAAAATAAAAAATAAATTTAATAATGATGATAATGATAATGATGATGATTTTAATCGTCGAGTTAATAAAAATTTATTATTTAATTCTCTTTGAAAAAAAAAAAAAAAAGTTTAATATAATTCACACACATATAAAACCATCATCTTTTAAGTTTTAGAATGAATACAAAAAACTGGAGGGGTAAATTCCAGAAATTCTTTTTATCCAGTTTTTTTTTTCCCAGAGGGTCCCTTATTTTTAACTAATTTCATTGACTACCCTAAATAATAAATCACTATCATTAAAAAAAAAATTTTTTTTTTTTCGTACAATCAAACGTAATTTGAATTTTCACGATGATAACAAACACACAACCATTTTTTTTTTTTTTTTTTTAAATTATCGATCGATGGTTTTTCTTTTTTTTTTTTTATTCATATACAAAAAAGAAAAATATTCAATAAGAATTCCCAAAAGCATTTTTTTAAAAAGAATTTTCCGGACTGCATTCTGGAATTTTCTAAAGAAAACTTTTTTTTTTTTTTTTTTTCATCCATTTACTTTGATGGCTTAATGTTGTTGTTGTTGTTGTTGGAAAAAAAAAAAAAGAAAATTTTTTTTTTTTATGGTTTGATTTCTTTTTTCTTCTTCTTCTTTCTTTTCTTCTTTTTTCTTTTGTCACCACCCTTTTCCTACTTCCCTTTTTTTTTTTTTTTTTCATTTTACCCTCGGTCATTTTACGCTTTTTTTATATTTAAATGACTTGATGGTGGAAATTTTTTTTTCCTCTTTTAATGGATTCAATGCTGTAAAAATAATTTTTTTATTAAATTAAAAAAAAGAAGAGAAATGATATCGATATTTTTATATTCAAAATATATTATAATATAATATATATATTATTGAATTAAAAAAAAATAAAAAAAGAAAATTCTCTAATAATTTTTCCGTTCTTTAACGAGAGAGTTTTTCCGCTTTAGTAAAACAAATCAAAAAAGAAAATTAATTAAAAATAATAACTAAAGATGTCGTCGTTGTCATTTATTTATTTATTTTTTTCATAAATTGGCAGCATTGTAAATAGTAAACAAACTATTTTAGAATCACGATATAACAATATGTATATGTTATATTATGAACAAAAAAAAGGGGTTAAAAAAAGAAAATGAAATCTTTTATTTATATATATGTAAAAGAATAATAATAATAATT